CAAATAAATCTGGGCGGAGATATTTGGCAGCCCATACTATTGCCAGTAACTCTTTCTCAATTGTCAAATAAATAATTTCTAAGTTCTTCTGCTTGCATAAGCAATTGGAAAAAGGGATCCAATCTTTCCTTGACTAAGTACGGCTCCTAGTACAAAGTTACTTCTGTAGTGAGATTGAAAGGACGGGAAAATTCAAGATACTCTAATATAGGTTCATTTATTAAAAGTTGTTTGCAAATTTCAAAACATTGGATGTAATATGTTCGAATCATTTAGATTAATTTCAGCATTTTTTCAGTCAAATGGCTATAGAAAGATCTTTTATAAATTTTCTGTAACAGCCCAAAAGTCTTAAAAATCCTTTTAATTGTTTAATATTTTTGGGTATTGGAAATTTTCTTGAAGAAAATGAAAAAATAAAAATATCTGGAAAGAAATGAAAGATAGAATTTACAAAACAGTCATCAGACCAATAATAACACACTCGCAGAAACACGACCTGACACAGAGAGGACAAAAATAATGTCAGAAACAGCAGAGATGAAAACACTTAGAAAAAGGTATGGTAAAACACTATGAGACAAAGCTAGGTGACTAGCTAGGTGCAAGGTGGAGAACATCAAGGACTAGGTAAGATATAGAGTAGAACGGAACGATCATATAAGCCGAATAACAACAAATAGAGTAGTAAAGACAGCAAGAGACGGTTCATAATAGGAAGACGATCAGTAGGAAGACCACGAAAACGATGGAACGAACTGGAGGCACATTAAAAAAAAACAGGCACATTTGATTTTAGCTGGGTTTAGCTTAACACGCTTTGGTGTTACGATATGACCTTAATATGTGACTTCTTTCTTTAGAAACTCAGATTTATCTATTTGGATTTTGAAGTTGCTTGTTTGAATTGCCGTCAAGATATACCAAACATGTTTCGTTTGATATACCTCTCAAAATCTTATCCATTGTGCTTTGGAACGTTACTGGGGTGTTACGGAGTCCTAAAGGCATTCGCAAAAATTCGTAGTGACCATTTTATGTATTGAATGCAGTTTTTAATGTCGCTTTCAGCCATCTCGATTTGATGAAATCCAGAAGCGAGATTAGGCTTCGTAAAGTATTGATACCATCCAAGTGTCGTCTCCGCGACGAAGCTCGGCAATCATCATAGGTATTCGGATTTTAGAGACAGCTGCTCTGAAAGGTTCATTTGATGTACATACGTACCATTCTCTCAGGTTACGAACACATGATATTCTACGGCTCCCTACGCTTCTCTCTTCTTGGATGCATCAGTTGGAGAAAGTTATATCCCTTTCCACATGTAGTATGTCCGAGATATTCCAATTTTCTTGTTTTGATTTTATTTAAAATTTTCATTTCTTTATTCATTCTTCTCATAACCTCTTTGGTTGTGACGTGTTCTGTCCACGATATTTTCAGAATTCTTCTATATACCTATATATAGAGGAATGATTCCAGTTTTATCCAACCAAGTTTTCAATACTTAAGTTAAATTCGTCCGTAACAAATACTTTATCTTTATTAGATATTTTTTCTAGCGTGCATTGTAGAGTGTCACAAATTCTGTGTCTTCTTTCGGATTGCTTGCGTCGAGTATATTTACACTTTAGTGTATTGTTTCATTAGCCACTTCCATTATTATCTGTATGATATTGTTAAGTTAGAAGAAGCATTAGTCAACAACCGGATCGACTCCAGGTACGGAATATTAATACATAGTATTTAAGAACAAGCTCAAATGATAGTGACGTTGGGTAATGGAATCGAAACAAAACCAGTAAAAATCAACTTAGGCATAAGACAAGGAGACACAATATCTCCAAATTTATTTACAGCTGCCCTAGAAGATATCTTTAAGTCAATGGACTGGGAAAATAAGGGAATTCCTAATTACGGAAGATACTTCAATCATCTTAGATACGCAGATTATGTAGTACTAATAGCCTACACGTAGAATGCACTGAATAAAATGATTGAGGAGCTACACACAAAATCACTAAAAAAAGCACTGAAAATAAATTTCAACAAAACTAAACTAATGTCAAACATAGATGACAAACCTATGATAAAGATCCAAGGGACAGGAATAGAACACGTAGATGAATATACATATCGCTGCTGTAGAACAGAGCTAGTCTATGCCCGAAATCACAACTTCTCAGGAGAGCAATTTGAAGTTTTTCAGAAGTTTAGTTTTACATTATTTTGTTTTTCAAAGATTACCGTTTACTTTGTGCATACTTTTCAATTCATTCAGAAAATTTTACATTAATATAAAACTAATTTTTTTTGTTTCATTGTTTTAATAAAAAATTAAGTGAACATAGACTAGTGCTGCATCAGAATTATTAGTGCAGAAGTAGTTTATCTGGACTTATGCTAGTTCTACACTAACAATATTCTTCATTTTTACAAAAACACGCAGTTGATATTTAAGTAAAGCCGAAGGAAGGAATGATTAAATAAATTACTACTGTTCATAAAAATACAAATGTTTTATTAATATGTCACTGATTACAAAATAAATTATAAAAACAGTGCTTTCTTAAATTAAGTTCCCTTATGACTTTTAATTTAAATATAAATTTAATTTAAATTTCGTAAAATTGTATGGAATCTTTCTACATGCTGTTCATGCAATAAGGTACTGTTGACTTGGCACGTATATAGCAACATTTTTTGAAGCCCTCTCAATATTACTATGTCGTATACTATCACCTTCGTTTTGGGTATGTCCCTTTTCCAAGAAAAAGTGAGAAATTTTGATCTTATATTTAGCAGCTAGACATTACAATATTTGTGTTGAGATTTTGTCCCCCACAGTTGTCAGAAAAACAAAACACATTTCTTGTTTTCCTTTCAGAGCCTTTTCTTCTATTAATTTTTTAACACAGGAAGCTACTTCATTGGATCCTCTCTGTCCTTTTGTCTTATCCCACATGTAGCAATAACCTTTTTTATGAAGATCATAAATAATCAGATTGTAAACAGAAAGCTTTCTACGATAATAAAACTAAGATACATTTAAATATGGCGTTTGAAGAACTTGTTGCATATCAAAAACTGCTGAAAAATAGTTATTATCATTTTCACATCTCTTCTTTGATTTTTCTTTTGTTTTTCTTGCAAGAATCTTGTTCTTTAAATGGTTAAAATTAAATCTTCCATTTCATTTCTCTGTTCTTCATTGCTGTTTTTGTGTTTTTCGCATAGGTCACACAAATCCTTTTTTGGTTAGAAGAACCCAAGGTTAAAATTTGTGTTGATCTATACATTGACAACGTAGCGAATTGTTGAATATTTTTATTCACACAGTCTTCTTTATATAAATCATACATTTTTTATATTTAGATTTTAATCTAAATATTGCCTCTTTGTATATTTTCGGCAATAATCGCTTTCTACCCTCGGAAAAATATTGATATGATCCAGCGTTGACTGTTTTATTTTGTCAGATAATTTTGTAGCACAAAGATTTTTTCCTCTTTGATCTTCGCCAACTGTATTCAGTATTTTATCTCTTCTGGAAAATGCAGTTTTTACCATTTGACATTAAAGACACAATGTATTCAGGAAAAACATTCTACAAACTCTTTCCTTCTTTTTAACAAAGATAATAGAAATAAGACACACCTTCTGACCTTCTTTTCTTTCTGGATTTTATGTTTTCAGAATTAGATGTAGCTGGTAAGTTATGAACATGTCCATCTACAAATTCAGTTTCAGTCATAGTGTGTGGTCTGGAAATGTAATTATAGAACCGTTGTTGGCAATATATTTACAAAAGCCAGACTAGCGCTGCCACGATCTGGTGAGTGCAGAACTAGTCTATCTCCATATCGTTAGTTCTACACTCAGTATATTTGATTTAAATAAACACAGATGAGAAGAGAACTAATAAATGTTGACATACACTACTTCTGCACCAACAAAATTAAGGTGATGGACATAGACTACTTCAGTTCAGTTCAGATAATGGACATAGACAATATTTCTGCAGTAAATACCCTCTGTAACAAGGAAAGTTTTCATCAAAAAAACAGCAAACAGCCAATTTTAGACATAGACTAGTTCTGTTCTAAGACAGCGATATCTGGTTCAAAATGTCAAGGTAAGTAAGAAAATCAGACTACCGAAATAAGCAGACGTGTAAAAATGGGATGGGAAGCATTCGGAAGACTCTCATATATACTCAAAAAATAAAAATATACCTCAAAGACTGCGAACCAAAGTGTTTAATTACTGTATCTTACGTATATTTACATATGGAACTCAAACCTGGACATTCACTAAAATAAACATGGAGAAGATCAGAAAAACTCAGAGAACTATAGAACGACAGATGCTGGGTATCTTACTCAAAGGTCATAAAACCAATGAAGACATTGTAAAAGTAGACAAAAGTAAAATATGCTGTCGAACAAGCAGCTACACTTAAATGGAAATGGGCTGGACATAACGAACGTCTTAAAGGATGGCCGATGGAATAAAGAAATCGGGAATTGGCGGCCATGTGAAGCCAAAAAAACACTAGGAAGACCGCAAATGCGCTGGAGCGACGATATTAAAAGAACTGCAGGACCAATGTGGAAACGTCTTACAAACAACAGAGATGTGGGGGACTGTGGGGAAAGAGGAATCTTTATACTGAGTACAACTATCAGGTGTGTCATAAACAAATATATAGTTAATGTAATTAATCATACTTTCAGTTAATCCTCGGTTTTTTATTTACATGTTCACTTTATTTATTCTTGGGAGAACTGTTAATGTTGTTTGGTTTGCTTGCTGGTATTGTTGTCTAGCCGACTGTATGACGTGGTTCCTCCTCCTCGGTATTCTACCACCGATATTGTATGTTGGCTCTACTGTTATTGTTTTTTTAATAATACAAAATAAATCTGATTTTCAGTGATCATTAGTTTATAGTTAAAATATGTGATGTGAGGTATAACATGTTTTAATTAATTTTTCAGGTTGACAGTGAGATCCGTAGGATTTTATCAGAAAGTTACGAAAGAGCTAGACAAATTCTAAAGGTTCATTCGAAAGAACACAAAGCACTAGCCGAAGCTTTGTTGAAATACGAAACATTAGACGCAGAAGATATAAAAGCGATTATGTCAGAGAAGGGAGGTGGTGGGGACAAGAAAAAAGTCTAGTTTTAATAGAATACGTTTGTTGTTGCAGTACCGCATTTTATTTTATTTTAAAGAGACACAACAACTAAGGTATTTTAGAAAATTTGTAATTTCTGTATATATGTTTTCGCTAATTTAGCAAACACGGAATACCAAATCCACCGGTTTGGTGTATAACACTTAATTTAATTTTGTTAAACTTTAATTTCCTTTTGATAGGAAATATAGATTGCGTAATAAAAAATGTTACATGATTATTTGTGTTTTATTTTTTCTTTGACAATTTCTTTTGTAGTGCGCGTTTGATATCTTCAATCGCCGTTCAATCAGTCTGATACCAGAATCTTCCTGCTGGATATAAAGAAAGGCTTTTCTTTCCTAAAAAAATATTTAAAGGAAATAATACTACGCTTGGTTTAGAGAGAAACAATACATATTTATTATTACTTCACCATATACAGTTATTACAAATAATAATAAGATTCAAAAACAAATTTACTGGTGCGGCTACATTTTGTAGCGGTTCCAATAGCTAGTTGTAACTATTTAAATAATTATTCTTAAATTTAAAATATTTAGATTTTTCAACGGAGCTTACATTGAAGTAATGGAGCTTACATGTACTAAATGTCCGAAAGAGATAATACTAACTGTCATATGTCGAAATTAAATATTAAAACTTTTAACTTTTTGAAACATTAAATTTTAAAATGATTTACATTTAAAAGAAGGATAATATGTCAATTAGCCATCCCCAAAACTTATATTTTTATTTATTACAATTTTTCAACTCGTCATGAAAGCAATTATTAATGAAAAATGTCTATTTTTACTTTGAAAAATTTTAACCAAAAAAATACCTGGTATCACTGACTGATGTATTTCCTTTAAGAAAGTTTTTGGGATCTTAATTGAACGAAATCACTGCAAAAACACATATAAATTAATGTATCCCGTAAGCTGCAAATTGGTTTTTGAGAAGTTGGAACTGACTCGGGCTTCGTGTTAACAAACTGCAATCTTCAAAGCTTGGCTTTTCAAACACTCCTTTAAACCATGTGGAGTTCTCAAATCGTTGTAACGGTGCTTACGCAAATCTCCCACATGGGACACAACACATACAACAAATCAGTGATTAAATCAACAAAACTGCTACATTTGCATTTGATTAGATTCAACTCTCCATAAAAAAAATTGCCGGCTTTTTCAGACTACCATGCCGTGGTTCATCCCCTTCAAGATCTCAATTCCAACCTTCACTTAAACTCCACATTTAAGTGCTACAATACACTATATTTCCATGACAAAAAACGAAAAACCATTACGAATTTAAAAAAAAAATCAAGACTCGAAACAATGAAGTGACCACTTCGGTGATCCATTGCAGAGTGATGTAATTCCCTTACCCGCAATCATTTCTCACGTCTCACCTATATAAGTGTATGTTTATTTGACGCGCTTTATTAAGCGTAAACGATCAAAGAAATATGCATCTGATTTAAGATATACAGACCGAAAATGTTTATATTATCAATTCCAACTATGCAAAATGATTAAAAAAATATTTCGGTAAAGTGTAAATCCAACTATGCAAAAGAAAGAAAGTAAGAAAATTTAGCATGGTTTAAACGAGTCTACACAATTATTTCAACATTAAATAATATCAGATTCAAAACCAACAAAATAAAGACATAGACTTTTGATCTCGGTAACAAAGAACATAGTAAACATCAAACTACACAAAACGCTCAAAAAGATATATTGTAGAACTATTTAGTAGTTCATGGAGCCTACCGATTATTTCAGTTAAAAAGAAAGACAATAAATGTCGACCCAGTTAAAATTAGGGCAATTTTGTCTATACCGAGTTCTAAAAATATAAAACAACAACGCTGATTTCTATAAACGTTATCCTGATGTAGATTAATATAGCGAAAATGAGACTAGTTACGGGATTCGGCCCAGATTTCTTTAACCAGAAAACGAGTAAAATGTTACTCCAGTTGATTACGTGACAAACTAACAAACTACAGCAGCTTTCCGAAATACCAAGTATATAAGACTTGTACTCTTAAGTTCTCCGGACCATATATTGTACATATCATATGTGGCAACGATATTTAGCCATTTTATATGTGTTCTGTTGGTTTTATACCCCAAGGATGAAATTAATAAAATTTAAACCTGATTTGTAGTTAATTTTATGTTCTGTGATTCTATTCATTCATTAACAACTGACTGACGACTGACGTTTACAAATCAGCTGTGAACGTAAATATAAACAAGATTGAAGTATAAAAGCTGCTAAACATGACAAAATTTATATATTAAATAAACATGAGTGAGAATATTTCGGACAGCAGTGATTCCACGGTATTTACAGTTCTTTGTGTGTACCAAAATTCCAGTGATAAAATAAAGACAAAAGAATTTTTGGAAGCTTGTTCGGATGCCGTATCCATTATTGAGAGGTTTGGAAAAGCATTTGCTCCAGTTGTACTTGATATGCAAGGAAATATTCAGAAACTGAAAAGAGAACATGAGAAAGATGTGACTTCTAATATGTATGTGGAAGACATGATCCTCAGAGAAGGATCTGAAGTTGGTTTAGCAACAGAGGCTCTTATGTGGTTAAAAAGGTAAATATTACTTTCATAAAATTATTATTTTCATACATATAAATACATCCTTCAAAAATGATAGATGATAACTATGATTTTAATTCAAGTTACCTACTTTCATTCAGTATTTTATTGAAAAGTTTTATATTTGAAAAATTTAAAAATAAAAACTTAAAACCATATAATTAATTATATTCTTGTGAAAGGGTCTAAAATATATACATTTTTTTATTTGTTGGCTTATTCTCCATTTAATTTTTAGGTTTTAAACATATATTTCATGTATTTGACTTAATTTCATTATTAATGTCATGTTTTTCTTCTCCTGTCACAACCATTGTTTTCCACAGCATATGAGTTGCAGTATTTGTGATTTTGTTTCTCTTAGATTAATATCTTTATTTATATCTAACACATATTTTATTTCTCTTACACTACTAAAGCCCACATTCATTGCATGTCACACTTTGTTTCCTAATTACCTTCTGTACTTATATCTATTCATTATTCTCTCTGATATTTTAACAATGTACTTTATTAAATCATCCTTGCTTCCTGAAACCTTCCATTTACGTAATATATATTTCCTTTATAAGTAATCATTTTCTTATGTTTATGCTTATATGGATAAAAAATATTCTGATGCACATTAAAAAGGAAAGGCTACATGGCGACATTTAGTAACCACTGAGCCACCACTGTACTTCAGATAGTGCAAAAGCTATTTGTTCCAGCTACTTATGTAGTCATTATCACATTTATCACTAAAAAACCTGAGCCAGAAGGTTACAAGAATGAAAGACATACAATATGTCAATTGGTTGGTTGCACTATAACCTACAATTGGTTGTAACAACAAACAGCTTCAACAAAAATATATGTCATGATTTGTACAATCTTGTTTACTATTGTATCCCTTAAGTTTATGTTGGTATCTATTGCAATGTATTCTAGGGCTATACTAGGCTAGTACAAGGTATGCAAGAGTTGATGAATTTTAACATTAAATTCATAGAGCTTCTCAAGATTTGCCTTAATATGAAAAGTGGGTTTATTGTAGACTTTTGCTTACAGAAGCCACACTGATATTTTCCAATTACCTTCTCTGAGTACAGATGTAGACTTTGGTATATAACATTTGTCAAGATCTTATATGTTACATTAAATAGTACCCCTTTTTGAATACAGGGACTATTATTATGAGATGCCATTCATCTAGTATTTGTGTCTGATCACTTTGTTTAATTAACTCTGATGTAATGTTGTCTAGCCCTGGTGATTTTTCATTTCTGGGTTTGTTGATTTCATAGTCAATCTTTGAAATAGTGGAGCTTCTTCTTATCTGTGATTGTTGATGTCTTGAGAAGGAATTTCTATCATTTTGTTAATATAAAATTGTCTTTCCATCTCTTGAGGATATCTTTTTGGTCATTTATTATTATTCCATATTTACTTCTACATATACTTAGTAGAGTTATAAACAGTTTATGTTTTGTTTAGTTTCTGGTAATTTTTTATTGTCTCTGGTCTGTTGTTAATAGTTCCGGTTCTTGCATTTCTGCTCTTGTTTTTTTTTCTTTTTTCTGTGTAACTTCTTCTCTTCTTTCCTATCATTTTATATTCTTCTTATGATTGTTTTATTGCCACTCTTTGTTAGAAATTTAGGTATGCTTGGTTTTTACTTCTTTTTATTTCAGCATATTGTGACGTTTATATAGTTCTAATTTATTTGTCTTTATTCTAATTTATTGTCTATATTCTAATTTATTAAAACTCACGATAGCTAATTACTAATTTATTAAATAACTTTACAAATGTATTTATTTCACGTTTCGTTACATTTAAATATCGCGTTTACCGATCTTCTTATGACTGACTCAAATACAAAAATCTTTCATTTATATACACAACTGTTGTCATCTGGAACTTTCGGCGAACTTCCTGAATGATCTCGTATTTTGGTGAAGGCGCTCGACTCGTTTTTCAACCTCGAGACGTGGATGACTCACTAAAATTAGTGTCTAGAGATTTCTGTAAACAACTGGTAGCGAAGCTCAGGTATATTTTGACCTACAAATTACGAGAATCAATAAAAAAGAATTAGTCATAAAATATTTACAGTTCTATATGCCATAACATTTAAAATCGTAACATTGCCCCCCTCTTAAAAGATGGTTCCTCCTGGAACCTTGTCGGGACTGGAACTGGAACGACATGCTGATATCGGCAACTGGACCCTCTTTTACAACTTCCAGTTGTATAGAAATGACAAGGGACGGTTTTCTCTCCGCAGCAGTAACTATGCGGATTGCAACAGACTAACACCTGGACTTCGGTGTCTTTAAAGATTTCCTCCACCATGTTTCGTATAACCCTCCAATCTAATTGGCGGCACTCCAACTTTGGCATGGCTAACTTTTGCACGTCGGACTCTAGTACGTGCTCTCTCAACTGAAGTAAGGCTTCCCATACATCTCGGTAGGTAGGTTGGTCACGGGCAGTGTCTTTTGTTACCAGGTAGAAAAGGTAACGTGATGCATCTTGAAGTTTCAAGGTTTTACCAGGAGCTGGCACTTGGCATTGAAGTTCTGCAACTCGACCAAACTTCCTTCGAAAGACGGATGCCAACCCTGGTGCATCTTTGATACTGGCCGGGATGGTAAGGGCCAGTGAGTAGTCATCGGGAAGCGCGAGTAGATCTTGCCTTTCTTCAGTGGTAACACCATGTCTTGCTTTACCGGTACCTCCATAGGCACCCATGAATTCCTCAAACGTGAGGTCAGACACATCTTGGACTTGGTTTACTTCCACTTCTTCATCTACGTCGTGGTCACCCTCGAAAGACGCCAACCGGTTATGGTGTACTATCATCGGCTTTCCTCTCGGAATCTTGCTTATTCGGTAAATAACATCATTGATCTTCTCCATAATGAGGTATGGACCTTCCCAAAACTGCTGCAATTTGGGAGAACAACCTTTTCGCTTTTTGGGGTTATAAAGCCAGACTTTATCGTTCTTCTTAAAACACCCCTTTTCGGCTTGTGTATCGTACCGTTTCTTCATTCGGTCACTAGCGATTTGGAGATGGGAACGGACCAACTCGTGTACATCGTCCATTCTTCTTCGTAATTCGATCACATAATCTTCACCTGCTACATCTTCTCCAGGTCGACACCCAAACTCTAGATCACAAGGTAGTCGCATCTCGCGTCCGAATAGGACTCTGGCTGGTGTCTGGCCTGTTGATTCATTAACAGCAGATCTGTAGGCCATTGTGAAGAACGGAAGATATTGGTCCCAGTCTCGCTGATGATCGGATACCATCTTTGTCAAATACTTGCCAACTGTTCTATTCATTCGTTCTACCATACCATCCGATTGCGGATGATAAGCCGTAGTTCTTGTTTTCTTCATACCTAGTCTATCACATATTCCTTGGAATAAATCGCTTTCGAAGTTCCTGCCTTGGTCACTATGGATCTCCAAAGGCACTCCAAATCGGCTGATATATTCTTGGATCAACTTATCTGCAACGGTGGCGGCCTTCTGGTCTGGAAGTGCGTAAATCTCGACCCACTTAGTGAAGTAATCCATTACTACCAACATGTACTTGCCTCCATTATCACTTTCTGGAAATGGCCCAGCAATGTCCAAAGCTATTCTTTCAAACGGGCTTCCAACATTATATTGTCTCATAGGAGCTCTCCTTTTTCGATAAGGCCCGTTACTCGTAGCACAAATAGTACATTTCTTACACCAGTCTTTTACATCGTCGGAACTGTTCATCCAATAAAACCGTTCCGAATTCGCTGAAGGGTCTTTTTCACACCAAAATGCCCTCCTGATGGACTGTCGTGTAACTGACGAAGTACTTCGGCTATTCTGCTCTTTGGAATCACCAACTGTCTTCTCTTCTCTGAACCGTCATCATTTTCCAGGACTCGTTTGAGCAAGCCATCTTCCATGATAAATGAGTCCCACTGGGCCCAATACGTCTTAACTATTGAGCCTAGGTTCGATATTTCTTGCCAAGGTGGTCGACGGTTTTCTTCTTTCCATTTTCGGATTTTCTGTATAACTGGATCTCTCTCTTGTTCTTCCCTGATCTTGGTAGGCGTCCAGTCGTCGTGGACCACCGTCGTTCTTAGCACTGCTGCTTCCTTGGATTCCGTTTTGTTGCAGTGAGAACACTCTGCTGGGCATGGCCTTCTGGAAAGAGAATCAGCGTTTCGGTGGCTAACTCCGGCCCGGTGCTCAATCTTAAAATCATATTCTTGGAGTCGTTCGATCCACCTGGCTATCTGACCCTCTGGATTCTTAAACTGCATCAACCACTTAAGGGCGGCATGGTCGGTTCGGATTAAAAACTTCCTTCCATAGAGGTATTGATAGAAGTGCTCTACTGATTTCACTACTGCCAGAAGTTCTCTTCTCGTGACGCAATAATTCCGCTCAGGTTTTGAGAGAACTTTACTGAAATATCCAAGGACTCTTTCCTGTCCTCCCTGAATCTGAGACAGCACTCCTCCAATTCCCACATTACTTGCATCTGTATCTAAGATGAACTCTCCTTCTGGCAGTGGATACCCTAAAATCGGTGCTGTGATTAAATGCTTTTTTAAGGTCTCAAAGGCATTTTGGCAGTCTACATCCCAGCGGTATTCTCTTGCTTCCTCTGTAAGTCGCGTTAATGGTTTAGCGATATCTGCAAACTTCTTAATAAACCTCCGGTAATAAGTACATAGTCCCAGAAACTTCTCACTTGATGTTTGTCAGTTGGTTTTGGCCATTCCTTAATGGAATCGATTTTTCCCTTATCCACGGCCACTCCTTCTTTACTGACTATATGACCCAGATAATTGACTTTACCTTGAAATAGCTGGCACTTCTTGGGGTTTAACATCAATTGGGCAGCTTTAAGTCGATTAAAAACGTTTTCTAAATTCTTCAGATGGTCTTCAAATGTCTCCCCCAAGACGATTATGTCGTCTAGATAAACTAGGCATGTTTTCCAAGAT